CTTTCTCTAAGAAGCATTTGCATCTAAAGGTATATCGTTTAGCCTGAAACCAAATAATAATACTTTACGTAGTGTCATTCAGTGCAGTCAAAAAATACATTTTGAACCAAAAGATTCTATTGGATCAATTTTAGGCTTCACTAGACGTACGCTCGTTGAAAACGAAACACAGTTCTGACTTACCCGTCACTATTCTCAAAGTTAACGCTTTACGTGTAGAGTGTAATATTACTACAGGCTCTTACACAAACGATCGCAAAGTACACACTATACATGAATTTTTCCCAGCGATCTCACCTGGATATAAGATTATAGAAGTTCCCTCTCAAGTCATTTATCTTCCAGTCGCTGTGAGGAGCATTGATCATTTTCAAATTCGTATAGTGGATCAAGACGGAAATGTAGTTAACTTTCGAGGAGAAGTCATCACAGTGTGAGTACATATAAAGACCATATCTTAGTAATGGGTATCATTTACAATATAAAGACCGGTCGAGGCTATATTAAGAGACAAAAATGTCAATCAACAACCAGTCAACAGCGAGCTATCAGACCGCTCACACCTCAGAACATTCAATTCCTGAAAAGCTCGAGACTAAAGGTCGCCGAAAATCGTGGAAGAAAATATTGTGCATATTAGTGTGCTGTATAAAACAACAACAATGTGGAGGGAATTCTAGACATTCATTCAGGTGTCGCTTTCGGTGAGTCTATAGCTCATTATGAAGTTCATGCGCATCAGCCTTATTCATTATCATATTTCAATAATAGTGATGAAATCCATATAGCAATTCAACATCAAGATTTATCTCTGCTTCCATCACGCAGTATGATTCATATTTGTGGTCGGTTGACCAATCCGGACGGTACTACGCCAGTGGAGAACACTTTATTAGTCAATAACGCCCTCTGTCATTTGTTCGAGGAAATACGATATGAAATATAGCTATTGAAATTGATAAAGTGAAAAATGTAGGCTTAACGAGCCTCATGAAAAATTGGCTTTCACTCAATCCATGTCAGAGCTCTATCGCTGAAAATGCCGGATGGAATGGTGATAACAATGAAGTTTTAATATGTAATGCTCTAGGTTTTTTTGATGTGACTATCCCTCTCAGTATATTGATAGGCTTTGCTGAAAATTATCGGAAAATTGTAGTCAATGTCAAGCATGAACTTATTCTCACAAGATCAAAAGATGATTTGAATGCTATTTTAAGTATTCCAGTAAGGAATCCTGATGCTTCAGAAAAATCAAAAATTACTTTAACTAAGGTTGAATGGTTATGCCATATGTGATGGTTGCAGACAATGAAAAAATCAAATTACTCAATTAGATTGGACGAGATCGTACAATTACTATGAGTTATCGTACTTGGGAAATGTATGAGTATCCAAAATTACCTCGTACATCAAAGCATGTTTGGAGTGTTCAGACTTCCAATCAATTGGAAAAGCCTCGCTTTGTTATTTTAGCTTTTCAAACTAAACGTAAAAGTCCAGCGAGTGTTAATTCTAGTAATTTTGATCATTGTAATATTAGTAATGTGAAGCTATTCCTCAATTCACAATGCTATCCGTATGGAAATCTCAATTTAAATATCAATCAAAATCAGTTTGCTGTTCTCTACGATATGTATACTAATTTTCAAAACGCTTACTATGGTAAAGAAAACGAGCCGTTACTCAATAAAAAGGATTTTATTAATAAATAAAGTAGTTTTAAAATAAAGTGCCGCTAATAGTTATAGACTGCTCTAAACAAAATGAAACATTAAAAAGCGCCCCAGTCGATGTTCGCCTAGAATTTGAAACTCGAACCGATTTTCCTGAAGATACTGCAGCCTACTGCTTAATATTACACGATCATATTGTACAATATAATCCAATTAGTGGTGATGTTAAAAAATTCGTTTAAAATTAACAAGACATTATGTAATCAATGTACACGATGCTTTTAAATAAAAAAAGAAAATAAAAATATATATATATATATATGGGTGATTCCAGCAGTTTTTTAAAATTGGCTGCGCAGGGGGGTCAGCCGATCTTCTCGGCGATTTTTTCTATGATAGAGTATGTCAAAAGAAGCCTTTTGGCTATCTCAGATTTTCGTTAAAATATATATATGTCCATATATATTTTTTCAAAGTCTGAAAATCTGCCTGTTTTTGGCTATTTTTGAAAAATCGTAGCTCCGCGAGTTTTCAATATTTTTCAACGTGCGACATCTCATTTGATTCGTCTACTTTTATACTTTCAAGAAAAAAATTGTTCATTTATAAAAAGTGACAGCTACCGGGTGTACTCTGACGATATTCGTACGCTTTTTAGGGTCAATTTGATGCTCATATTCCGAGTACAGTAACTTGGTCAATTTTTCATATTTTTGAACAAACCGCATGTCATTTTTTTTTGTCTCTTCAAGACCTGTAATTTGAGACCCGGCGCATCTCAATGGACGCAGTAAAACTAGAGATATAGCCGTTTGAAAATGACCATTTTTAGAAAAAATCGAAATCGCCAATTTTTGAAATCGTTTTATTTGAAAATGAAAAAGGGTCATATCGTGAAAATTTCAGAGCATGTTCTACTCGATTTGAGCTAGCTAAAACCGCCTCAAAGTAGAAAAAAAATTGAATGCGTTTTTTTTTTTTCGCCTTTGAAAATGTCTATTTTTGAAAAAAACGGCCAACTTTTATCGGCTATATCTCTGGTTCTAATGCATCGATTGAGATGCGCTGGATCTTAAATGAAAGATCTTAAAAAGGCAAAAAAAATGACATGCGGTTGGTTCAAAAATATGAAAAATTGACCAAGTTACTGTACTCGGAATATGAGCATCAAATTGACCCTAAAAAGCGTACGAATATCGTCAGAGTACACCCGGTAGCTGTCACTTTTTATAAATGAACAATTTTTTTCTTGAAAGTATAAAAGTAGACGAATCAAATGAGATGTCGCACGTTGAAAAATATTGAAAACTCGCGGAGCTACGATTTTTCAAAAATAGCCAAAAACAGGCAGATTTTCAGACTTTGAAAAAATATATATGGACATATATATATTTTAACGAAAATCTGAGATAGCCAAAAGGCTTCTTTTGACATACTCTATCATAGAAAAAATCGCCGAGAAGATCGGCTGACCCCCCTGCGCAGCCAATTTTAAAAAACTGCTGGAATCACCCATATATATATCGTCGGCCAAGTAATCGTAGACCGGATTTTCACGAACCTTGCAACTACGGTGTGGATTTGGGTTATAATGGATAATTGGCATACATGAGAGTCTAGTCCTTCGAAGGATGATTTAGGCTTCATTTGAAGTATATGAGATCAATCTGTCTGTCCGTTTTAGCTCTACTCGTGGGACAAGCAATTATTGACCGGAATACCAGGACATATGTGTCTTACGTCTAATTCTGGGTTATAATGGATAATTGGCAATAATGAGAATGTAGAACTTCTAAGGAAGATTGCTGCTTCATTTGAAGTATATGAGATCAATCTACCTCTCCGATTTAGCTTTACTCGTGAGACAAGTAATCGTTGACCGGATTACTAGGACACGTGCGTCTTTCGTCTAATTCTGGGTTATAATGGATAATTGGCATACATGAGAGTGTAGACATTCTAAGGAAGATTGCGGATTTATTTCAAGTATATAAGGTCAAACCACCCCTCCGTTTTAGCTCTACTCGTTGGCCAAGTAATCGTAGACCGGATTTTCACGACCCTTACAACTATGGTGTGGATTTGGGTTATAATGGATAATTGGCATACATGGAAGCATAAAACCAATATGATTTTTAAAACGTAAAATAAATAAGAATTCTTATTAGTATTCAGTAGATTTATGAAATGACTAAAAGTAAGTATCTCATTTTATGTGTATTTATAAGAACAATCGTATTAAATATTAATAGTTTTTTCATTTATCATACTTACAATAATATAATAATATTAATTGCTTAAGAATTGCACATTTAATTTGTATTAGTTTTCATGAGTATAGAACATTTAAAAAGGATTTACTAATATTAGATCCCATATGTCATTTTCTGGTGCCTATTTAATAGAAATAATGAGTATATATACAGACACTTTTGATTGCTCTTGTTATTAGTCATATTGCTCTTTTCTGGAAAGCAAGAGTTTAATTTCACCAGTTTCTATCAGAATAAAACATTATATATTCGATATTTTTAGTATGAATTTATAAGGTTTATTTGCTTAAATTTTTTTTGGGAATCAGTGGGTTTTCTTATTGTTTACGGAATGGAAATAATGGGAATATACATGATTTTGTTGAGATATTAGACACTTTTAATTGCTCTTGTTATTAGTCATATTGCTCTTTTCTGGAAAGAAAAAGTTTAATTTCACCAATTTTTATCAGAATAAAACATTAAATATTCGATATTCTTAGTATGAATTTATAAGGTTTATTTGCTTAAATTTTTTTGGGAATCAGCGAGTTTTCTGATTTTTTACGAAATGAAAATAATGAGTATATACATGATTTTGTTCCATGAGAAGGAGTGAGATAGTTCCGATTGACGATTATGAGTAATATTGCTCTTTTCCGGAAAAGCAAATTATCAATTTTTCCAGTTTTTATCAGAATAAAACATTAAATGTTCGATATTTTTTGGGAGGATCAGCGATTTCTCCTATTTTCTACGCAATGGAAATAATGAGTATATGCGTGATATTGTTTCATTAGAGGAAGTTTGATTTTACAGAAACTTCTGATGGACCTTAAGAAACGTGTAGAATTGGTGTTTTATGATGAACTTACCTACATTTTTACTTATTAATATAGAAGTATTCGTTAATTACAAATTAATTATTTTTCGTAATTAGTTATGAAATAAGGATGAGAAAATATGTAAAAACTAAAGAGTGTTAAGGTAATGATTTATTCTATATTTATAAATAAAACATCCTTACTGTCATAAAATAATATAATAAAATTTAGAAACGTACATAACTTACTTATGTAAATACAAATAATACTTAAGTTTTATTCATCATGATTAGATTCAATTTCGTCTTCACTATTCTCCTCATCACTGTCGTTTTCCCCATCATCATCATCATCATCATCATTGTCGCTTTCATCATCATCAGCATCGCTGCCTTCACCTTCCTCATTTTTTGAACTTGATTCTGGTTGATTTATACTATACAAATTGACAGTTACTTGTGCCTCTACCTCTTCAAGTACATTATCGCTTGCTCCCTCTGGATCGCAAATTTTCTTTTTACTTTTGCGATTCATATCGGCTATTTTACTAGCGATATGCTCGCCTGTAGATTTAACTTCTTGTGCGACTCTTACTGGATCCAATTTGACTTCAATTGCCAAATAATATTTAAAAATACCTGCAATATATGTTATGTTCAATATATTATATAATGTATATAAATGTTGGTCAATAGAGAATATAAATATATAATACGTATATAATTACACGCGCACGCACAGTCAACACACACAGACATTTTTGAAATTATTAATAAGAAATATAAGGGATGTAAATTAAAAAAAAAAAAAAATAGTCGAATTGCGAAATTTACTTAGGGTAATTTGTATTTACATTCATATATGTTCTCCATTTTCATGAAAATAATACAAAATTCATGAAGGATCCACATAAATATGTATCAATCTGAACTTCTAAAGGTTAATTTTTATTTTATTTTACTTGATATTTACCTATAACAGCTCCTAACAACTTGGGATCAAGTTTTGGCTTTGCCGGAGCTTTAGTCCTTCCAGATTGTTTGCCAGTAACCGAGCTGTTTTTCAAAGTTTCAGTGCCAAAAATAGTTTCAGCTATATGGCGTACAAATCCAGAATATTCTGAGCCTTTTTTGTTTTTTTTTTACTTTATCATAGTCAGTTTTTGATATATAAACGGTATTTCCGCAATGTATCTAACAATAAAAGAAAGTATGTAAAACAAATTATTAAAATGTCTTTTACGATAAAAATTTTAACATTTTTAAAGCAAAGTGAATATAAGATTTCATTTGATTAAGTTGGAATAACATATTTTACTGTGTGAAATAGATAGTTGAAAGAAAATACGATGTAATGATGTATAGAAAAATTTACTTTCATTATAGCATTTTTTAATTACGTAATATTCAACGGTAAAGTGTAATTTTTCGCGATTGTTTGAGTAGATTTTCTGGGCATAAAATCTAGCCATAAAACCGACGCGGAAATTCATGCAAAAAAAGGACTCAGAAATCGATGTAGTGTCTAGTGGAATCTGTCTTCATTCACATAGCAAATGTCTAAATTGCTCCGTTACATTCCTATCATATAATGAAGGCTATAACAATTACCTATTAAGCTAGTCTATATATTGAAAAAGGAAAACATGAACCTACCATATTATCACTCTTTCGTAAGTACCCTACATCAGCATCTCCTTTGGCAATCTGTTCAAACGGATTAATATCTCGACTAGCTATTAATTGGAAAATAAATTATTCTTTCATAAATCATATAAGATAGTGGAGCAACAATTATATAAAATGTGAAATATTTACCATATTCATCTACCTTTTCATATATTTTATTTTGCAACTGAGCATTAAGATCCTGCCACTTCTGTAACTCTTTTTGTTTTGTTATAGATAGATTTCGATATGATTCAATGGTTTGTAAAGCTTCTGCCAAATAAGATTCTGCTACTTTTAATTTGTTTTTCAATGTCTTTAATTCATTTTTGTCGTTTTTTTATCTTTTATTTTATGTTTTTGATCTTTTAAATTTCCCACAGTTTTACATGATTTCCGATCGTTTTTTTTCGGTTTCGTTTGAAATTTCTTATTTTCTTTATAAGAATCTTTAGGAATATTGATAGAATTATCAATAATACTAGTACAGTTGTTTAAAGTTGACACGTTCTGTTTGTCAGATAATCCGCGATCATGTTGGATGTTTCTTTCAGTTTCTATTATCTGCAAATCAATAAAAAAACTGTAATATATAATTATACATACCTATATACAAACATTAATTGTCTCGCTAAGGAGGGTGTTGGTGCATTTGAAAACCTTAATAAACGTATAAATCATATTTTATAGTCTACTTTCGATCAAGAGCTTTTATTAGTATATAAAAATTATTTTGGGAAAAGCAGGAAACAACAAGGATGAACCTTTAAATTTACGTAATTTGTATTGAAATTCTATCTATTCAAACCTTGCGGACATCCTCTTTTGAAAATAAAGGAAAGTATACTATTAGTACGCCATCCCGTTAAGCATTCTCTTAATTTTTTAAATACTTACATTCGTTGAATGATTCTCCTTTAATACACTTATACTATTTTCAGGAGAAGTGATACTATTATCAACTTTTGCTGATGTAGCAACATGAACTTGTGGTGCAATAGTTGTGTCAACTTGTGGTGACGTAGCAATATAAATTAGTGGTGAAATGGTAGTGTCAATTTTTGTTGACGTAGCAGCTTCAACGTGTGGTAAAATAGTAGTTTCAACTTGTGCTGAAGTAGCAGTATGAACCTGTTGTGAAATAGTTGTCTCATCTTCAGCTGACGTAGCAATATAAATTTTTAGTGAAATATTATCACAAACGTTTGAAATCGTAGTGTTAGCTCCTGAAATTGAAATAGCAGTGTCGACTTGGAACGAATTTATAGTAGTGGCACTGAGGCATAACGACGTTAGCCACTTGCTCATTAAAATCGAGATCGATTAAAATGATTAATATTTGATGGATGCTTTCAGTCATGACTTTCTTATATCAAGAAGATATTATAACTGCTACTAAAAAATGGATATTTTACAGACTACACTTAACCAATAATAAGACATTAATTGAAATTAAAATATATACTTTGAAAGTTTTCAACGAATTCTATTATCGACATTTAAAGCTTGTAGATAATGAAATGTATCGCCAAAGCTTTCGCTAGACGATCTCCACGTGCTACGATAATTCCAAGATAGACGGAATACATAAATTTCACTGTAAATTGGCCAATCTTGGCGTATCTATATCATAAGTGACCAGTTCATGGTGAAATTACTACAACTACCTAAATGAACATTGTACAATATTTTATATTACCTTCCAATGTATTTTACAACAATGCATGAATTATAATACAATTTTCTCAAAATTGCGAAAAGTGAATTTAAGTCGTTATTCCTCTAAGCCAAAGATATTTGCAATTTTCTGTACTTACTTTTCTTCTTTGGAACATAATTATTTACGGATTTCTGCTTTCTGTTTTTACTTTCTCCTTTAATTTTAGTATCGGAAGACTTTTTATTCTTTTCATTTTTCTTAAGCTTATCAGAAGACATTTTTAATTCTAAAACATTTTTTTTTGTACATCTTCATTATTTTCTATACGTAAGGTCTCATTAGAATGAGGATCTGTATGATGCATATTTTGGTACTGAAATAATTAATAAAGTATTATTTTTAAATAATTTAAGTCATCGCTGTATTGTATACAAAATTATCAGGTGCATTCGGAATCCGTAGGATCTTTGAGACAACTTCTGTCTGAACAAATAAAGGTCAATAGCATTTGTAGTTAACGGGTGTATTCCATTTTGTCTCGATACTCGCAAGACATTTCTGAACATTCCGATTTAAAAAGACGGAAAACTGATGTAAAAGCGTTACAAAATTAAAATTTGAAACAGATTTCAGCAGAATTAACAATAATTTAACTTTAGCAGATATAATGATAACGTGCGAACGAGTTATAAAGTATCGAGAGTAATGTGTAAGTTTAGTCGAGTTACCCGGGTCTATAAGCGCTAAAATATAGTGTGTGTAGTAATTTAAATTATAGTTAGGTTATATTGTACAGAGTTAGTGACATTTTACAACGATAATTTTTACTGATGTTAGTTTTAAATTTTATTGAAAGTTGTTCTAATATTAGTTTGTGTTTTTCCTTTTGGGACCTTCCGATACGTCTCGCGACTCTCGAGACAAAACGAAATACACCCAACATCAAACATTAAATCATTTATAAAATAAAAGATTGCATCAAAACGAAAAACTTCTACGAATTAGTGGGAATATAATTACGATGCTACTGTAAAAATGTTAAACTGATCTCTGTCTCTTCTAATTCTGTGGAAGTTGAGTGCCCGCTCGGTTGAAAAAAGTGGAAAAAAGCTATGCTGATGCTTTAACAATTTTTTTAGATTATAGAACGAAGAACATATTTTTTTATTACGTAAATGTTTTATTGTATACTTCTCGAAATTTGCTGTTTTAAATTGTGAAAATGAAACTAAAAATGTTTCCACAAGCACAAATTTATGTGCATCTACTGATATTTTTACAGTGCGTATATGCATTCTTCTACATCAACTTAAGGCAAAAAGGTAAAAAACATGTTGGATCAGCTTTTTGCAAAAAGTGGTCATATTTGAGAGTAGTCAAAATACTATATGCAAAGGGACGCACGTAAATTTGTATCTCTGGTAATTACTACCCTCGCAAGAAAATTTTTACTATGGCCGTACAGACCTCTGGCGCCATTAACCACGTATAGAATAGAATAGAAAAATTTTCCTTTAGGAGTAAACCCACCAGCGGGAAACATTGCTACTTTCGGCTTTTGTTGAAAAACGGATTATTTTATACTAAAAAATTATTTTAACAACGTCATAACAGATCTAATAAAAATCGAGCAAGAGGATGCGTTATGGATGGAATTAGCATAAAATGAGAATTGACAGAGAACATTCCAAATACCTCTTAAACAAAAAAAGGAATTGTTTAAGTAACAAAATTAATTTAAAAATGGATGATTCTATCGGTGTACGAACGCACGTAGCGCCCTTTATATTGAGGTTCATGTTTTAATTTGTACTCTGACGGTGTAAGCTGGTCATAGCCTACACCGTGTATGCCTGTATTCTCTCTCTCGGGCGAAGGCACACGGCCGGCATCAAACGCACGTTATTATCACGTGCCTGATGCCTGCCCTTTTTATTTTCAGCAACGCACGAGAGCGGAGGACGAGGCCAGGGACGCGACGACGCGATCGAATATTGAGAGTGCGAGAGAGAGAGAGAGAGAGAGAAGCTATAGTCTAGCGGTTGGGCTTGGCGCGCGGCACTTGTCGCGACCGGCATTGCCGCGTGCCGCCGATTAGGAGGCGAGTGGTGGGAGAAGGCGTGAGTAGCCGGCTCTCATGCACTCGCGAGAGTGACGTGCACGCACGCGAGAGTAATCGGCCGTATTAGTTGGTGACCATCGCTGCGAAGCCTGCCCCTTTGTTCGGGAAGTAGTCGGCAGTCCTCGACAGATTGGCCGGACGGGATTCTCTCTGCCAGCGACGCAGCAGTCAGGAGGTTTTCCTGCAAGAAGCCACCATCAGGACGGTACCCGACAGGTTCTTCTGCCAAATCACCGGCTGCACAGCAGCCAAGGGTCTTCCAGCCAAGCCACCGGTGGGGCATCTTCTGGGCTGCCAGCGACAGCGACGTCCGCCGATATCGGTCAGGTCATCTATTCCTCTCTCTCTTTATATCTCTCCTTTTCCTCGGCGATTTTCACGGTTGGCGTTGCTATGCTAGGCTTCCCCGAGCCGGCGTAATTTTCGGCAGTGTTTAGTATAAGTTGTTGTTTGAGCCGGTTAACGAGGTGACATGGCGCTAACGTGCCGGTCATCTCGTTTATAATAAGCTTGCGTGTTATTAGTAATAAGTGGTTTGTACTCTCGTCGGCACTCGAGGTAGTGCGTTTATAATAAACGGTTTATCAACGAAATTGAGTGTGTGTGAAGTTATTTAGCCCGCTGTTCTCCTTCCTGCTTTGCTTGGAGCGATACACCGCCTCCCTTACCTTCCCCCTTTATAAATAATTGGTAATAGTGGTGAATTCATCGGCATTGCACGCCGATGCTATTACATGGCATCCCTTGTGGGGAAGGGCAAAGCAGAAGTGAGAAGAGTGCTTGCATGTGTGTGCGCGAATAGCTAATAAGTAGCATCAGTAATTACATTTTCTTTTTTTTTTTTTTTTTGCACGGTAAATTCGGCAGTATGGTTTGTGAAAGTGATTTCGTCGCGTTTTGTTAGCATGGGCAAAGCGTATTAAAACAACGCGCCTTTGTCTAAGAAAAAAAAAAAAAAAAACTTGGAAACTGTAAGCATTAGAGTATCAGGTCGCGGCGCGCAAAGGTCGCTCGCGCCAACACGTGTTTGCTTCCGAGAATTTGAGCGTCCGAGTGTATTTACGTTCGAACGCTGCATTTCTTTCTGGTTCTAGGCAAGGCGATAACTTGCCGGCCTAGCACACTGGGGGAACATAGTTTTTTTTATTATTCTATTCATTTATTATTTTTTTTTTTCCCTTTTCTTGGTTGGTTACATATAGTATAGTTTTCCCGTTCATATTTTTCTTTTAGCGTGTTAGCTGTCTGTTGGCAAGTCGCCTGCGTCGTTTGATTCGAAAATAATTCTTTTTAAGTATTTATATCATTTGAATTTTTTTTTTATAAACTAACGATTCGATCGCACCATGCCGCTTGCATGTAAGGATCGCGTAACCATGCGTAGAATTCTCCGCGACGCCCGCGTCAAGGAAGTCAAGCACCGTATCGACTCAACAGAGCCGGTCGCATTTTACGGTTAATCCGACATAGGAAACTTTCTTTACACGGCGAAATCGAAGAGTTGAGGGAACGCTACTTGCGTTTTACGCTTACGATAGAAAGGCCAGAGTTAGGAGCACCGCTTCAACCGAGCGACTTTAAAGAAGGTCGCGTGCCTGACCTTTCGCAGCGCGAACCCACACACGCGGCGGTTAGCAGCGACGAAAGTCAGACTGGTCCGGTCGAATACGTTAGAGTCGCGTCACCAAGGGCAGTAGAGCCAGGGTTGCCAGGGCAGGCGACTTTGTCACGACAAAGTGTTGCCGCTCTGCATCAGCCAGCTCAGCGGCAGGGCGCTAGGATTACGACCCCTGATCGCGGGGAGGTAATTTTGCCAGCAACTGGCGCTGTCAGTACGGCTCAGCCTCAGAGTGCTAGTGCGATGACGCCCATTCGCGAGGAGGTTATCTTGCCGGTAACCAGTCCAGTAAGAATTACCCCCCCCCCCCCAGCGAGGCGCGCGCGCGACGAATGCGCCCGAGACAGAGAGACGTAGTGCCGGCATCTTGAACCAGGTATGGGATGCAATAACGGCTGTTCCGCGATGGATATACCGACGGGAAGTGCAACAAGGCATCACTGACGGCACAAATACCGTGTATAGGGTAGAGAGAGAGGCAATGCAGGGTGGTGCGGATCAGGCTGCGCAACAGGCTCAACAGCCGTTGCAAGCCGATCCGACGATCGGCTGCGCGGCGCTCAACGTGCCAGCGGCCGCCAGCCCTGCTTACCAGATTTGCTCAAACGCTCAGCCAGTGAGTCAGGTCCTCTTTCCTGAGTGCCCACAATCAGACAGAGAGTCGTGGATCTCTGAATGGGAAAGAGCTGTGCGAGCTTCTGTTAGCGTAGGCGCTCGAGTGTTTAGACGAGAAAAGGGAGACTCGGACTCGGAGTCCAGAGCTTCAACGAGAGCGTCGGAGTGTAAGCCGGTCAAGGCGAAAACTTTGCCGGACCATGGCAGCACCGTAGACCTCTCGAGCTCCTCCGAGTCAGAGATCGGAGAGCAAAGGAAAGGCGCGTCGCGTAAAAGCGACAAGACGACGAAAGCTGAAAAGAAAAAGAAAAGTCCAAAGCACGTTAAATATATCAATGGCGTACCAGCCGATGGTGTTAGTGCGCTAAATGCCTGGTCGCTTCGTTTTTCGGACGATGGTAATACGAGCGCGATTAGCTATTTATCAGGACTAGAGGACTGTCAGCGCTTTTATAGAATTCCGGATAAAGAATTGCTAAACGCAGTAGACACTAGTTTGCGTAGTAAGGCGCGTACTTGGTACGAGCTTAATCGAAAGAAATGGGCGACTTTATCGGAATTCAGAAAGAGCTTTTCAGCCAATTTTTGTCGTCGGCTTAGTAGGCAGCAGTTATATGGGAATTGATGCAGAGGTCGCAAGGAGAACGCGAACGCATCTCTGAATATGTAGCGGCCTTCCAGTCGATCTTGAGACGCTTCGATCCGCCGGTTTCTGACAAAAAGCAAGTAGCTATTATTGTGGAAGGGTTACATCCGCAGTATAGGCGATACCTTGAAACGAAAGCGTTTAAAGACCTAAGCCAATTCAAGGAAGCCGGCCTAGCGTTAGAAGATCATATGATAGGTTGGAGAAGGTGGCAACGTCCACCGAGCGCGGACGTTACGCTCGTACCAGAGTCTGCTTATACCGAGCCTAAGAAACT